TACAACTCTAGATGCTGCTTATGTGCAAGTGAGAATTTGAAAAGTACCTCCAGATCAATACCACGAACGTTCATGTTCTTTTTGATGACTGCATTCGATATTTTAGAAAATAAGAAACGCAGCTCATCTGGTGCAATGTGGTGGTGACTCTTCAATTCTCGGTACACATAGACCATCATCCTGTTCACCAAATACGTCTGTAGATTCTTTGGTGCTGGAGACATTACTTCTATGTGAGGTTCCTATGAAAATATAATCTCAGCATGCCGACTTTATGACAGTTTAACATGAAAGCTAAATGGGTCGACTGCAGGTAAAAGTTCATAACGACTCTTGTGACATAAATATAACTGACACGTCTCTCTTATTCTCAAGAATATACATTCATTCTATATTCTTCTGGCTCTATATTTACCGTACTCTTCAATCTAAAATTTTGCTAGGACACCGACACCAAAGTACTAACGAAAATAGCAAAAGAAAACGTGGTAGCGCAAAAGGAAAAGAGAATTTAGTTTGGTTAGGCCAGTAAGTTCTAGATACATTACTAAATCACAAGCATGGAGCATATAGACTCATTCTTCAATCTATGTAACCAGTAACACTTTCCCTGGACAGAAATTCTAAGAGAGAAATCAGGCAAAAGGCAAACCTGCTGTCCAACAGCAAATATCTTGTCAATACGCCTTAGAGAGAGCTTTCCTTTAGGAGAACGGACCAACAAATAATCTTTTGATTGCAGCCTATGAGGAAAAACAGGTGCTTTGTACATGTTTGTTTCAATAGATGACTGACTGCAACCACCGTGTAGTTCCCCAAGGAACGGAGATTTGTCCCCAGGTTCTAAAATCATCACATTCCCTAAGGTGTCACTTTGATTTCGCAGCAAGTTCCCATGCTGATCCTCTGGGGATGACTTATGATAATACGTGCACAAATTTGCACCCATTCCTGCATTGCTGAGCATCAACGGCCTCTCTTCACAATACCTTACACAGATTGATGAAAAGTAATGGTGACTTATAGATATAGATCAAACGTTCCCAATTTGATAGGTAAGTCTTTAAAAAAAAATTGTCTTACTCCATCAAGAAAACATGGCCATCTTGAGTAGATAGGTCAGATTTCTTCTTGAATTCTCCAGGAGGTCTCAAAGATTTATTTTCGCCAGGAATCTTTTGTGCCCGTGGCCACAGATGTACCTTGGTACGTACAAGATGGACCAAGGAATTTGGTTGAACGTTTTTTTCAGCAAGAGACTTTTCATCCTCAAGTTCCTTTCCCATATAGAACATCTTCACTGATTCTGTTTCATCAAAATCTGCAAACAACTGTAGCAAATGAGCTCCAAGATTTGTAAGTGAAATTAAAGAACAGCATGTTCTCCAAATAGAATCCATGTCATAGTCGGTAGACAAAAAGTGAAAAGGAAAACAACAACCTAGCTTTCTAGAAGCCTTGGCTTTTAAATAAGAGACAGTTTCCTCTATGCCAACGCGTAGCTTGCTTCCTTTACCCCCCAGACTCATAACTACAATTTTCATGGATCCTTGGGTGGGTAGCTTTCCTTGCTGCTTGATGGCTAGCTCATTGTCATGTGGATACCATAAAGCTTTGGGCCGGTGAAAATTTCCTATGTCTTTACTGCAACAAGTTATAGATGGATGTCAAAAAAAAAACAATATCCAGTGTGGTAACATTTAGAGCACACAAAGACAACAATTTGAAATATTCAGATACAAAACAATGTAAATACGAATGACCCACTTACTTGCTCAATTTAATCTTCATTGTCTGCAATTTAATCGCCGGTGCTGAATGAAGAACTCTTAAACTGTGTACCCCTGATTTATTAGCATTTGCTTGCAGTTGGTGAGAGCTTTTCCCATTCATATAGAATTTGTCATTAGAAATATTGAATTGGCACCCATAATTTGATTCACAGCCCTCATGAAAGTTTCCATCCTTGGATTTTGAAGACCAGTTTACAACCATACTTCCAGCATGACGTTGATGACTTTTGCTGTCTTCGTTATCCAGAATTCTAAAGACCACTTGCCCATCTTGTAGATCAAGTATTTGTTTAGACCTGCTCAACTTCTTACCCGAATCCCATATTATGCTATCTATCCATGCCTCATCCCACATATTCCTCTCTTGCAATGCAAGTCTGCTAAAGCCCCCAGGAGCGTCACTTTGAAGTCGCTTTAAATTCTCCCCTCCAGCATCGTCATATTCGCTAAGATGATCCTCATCCCATTTGGATTCTAACCTTAAGAGTTGTGGATGATATCTACTTTTTTTAGTGGACTCATTTGTAGAGTGAGAAACCCTTGAGCCAAAAGACTCCAAGGAATTGACAAAAAGAGGCACAAGCATATTCTTGTCAGCTTGAGGTTGCTCTCTAGAGTTCACCACATTTAAGCTTTCTTGTTCAGTCTCAAAATTTGTTCCTTGACCCAGCATGCCTTCTGACTCAAGTCCAGATTCGAAGCCTTCACCAGAATTACCACTAACTTCAGGAGAATCTTCCCAAAGAATTTGATGTTCCCATTCATGCTGGTCAAGAGGAAAAACTTCCATTGACAATTGAGACTGGCACAGAGATGAATTTTCGTCTTCTATATCCTGCTTCAACAGTTCACCCATGATACATGAATTCCTTCCTAGCTTGGTAGAGTCTCTTAATTCTGCTGTGATATCTCCGACTGTGGCAGCTTTTACCAGCTGTAAATCCTCTCTGATTGGTATGGGAACATCAAGCTGAATCAGATCATCTTGTTTCACATGAGTGTCAATCCTACCATGGCTCTTCAGGAGTACCTCCTCATCGTCTTCAACAAGGTCCATAGATTTGTATCTGTCTGTACAAAAGAAGGCTATGATGTAAGAGTTCCATATGGAGAGATGAATTATA